CGAACTCTTCTTCTAAGCAAACATGTAAAGGTAACATGCAAAGAAATCTACAAACTTCTTTTTCAATTTTTTTTGTCTTCTCTATATGGCCAAATCTTTATCTCGTTTCTCTTCAAGGAAGACAACTTGTAATCAACAATGTTCTTGTCTTCTCCTTATGGCCAATTTTGTTTATTATTTGTTTTAGAGAACCTTAAATCTTGATTCAACTCGATCGAATTCTAAGCATCAATTTCCTTGCTTGATCCTTTTTTTATTTGTTCAATTTCCTTGCCTAATTGGTATCTCATAATCACCCAATGTACGTTGTACTTGCCAACACCACTCCCTTTCATCATCACCGTAGAAATCTTCCTTTCGTTTCTACTTTTCTTTTGGCATCCTCGTTGTGACCTTTACATCTTTTGTAAATATTATAAAAGCTCCATTAATATTCATTAAACTCCATAAAAAAAATTCGTATAAAATTCCTTTTAAATCCATGTGAAGTCTATCTGAATCCATTAAAATTCATGTGGAGTTTATATGAATCTATTAAAATTCATAGACTCCCTGCAACTCTATAAGAATTCATCAAATTCTTAATTGAATACATCCCCTAAATAAACTTTTATAATGTGTCAAATTATGGCAAAAAACAGGTTGAGGGATTAAGAGTTACAACTTCAGAAGATGAAAAGCCTCGATTACCTCACATTTAAGAGAAAAACACTTCATAAATGAAGGCTAGAATGAATTAGAAGCATTGCTTAATAGTTTTTTTTTTTTTTTTTCCATGTTGAAGCCTCCCACCAAAAAAAAAGAGAATTGTACCATTTTTGATCCGTTGGGGTCCCCGTGTAAACCGGAGTCTAAATAATATGGTTTTTAATTTCAGTTTAGCTTCTAATAAAGCATAAAGTGCCCATTTAAGACGTGCCTAACCTCAACCTCTTGCCTAATTTCATGTTACATGCGGTATCTTCAATTGTTTAAGGCCTTAAAATCCTCTAATTATACGAAATCTTAGATGTCACATGTGGGTCTCCACCGACCCATTAAAACACTGCCATAAAACTAATTAAATCCCCAACATTAACATCGCACATTATAAAAGCCTAAAAAAACAAAAAGGAGCTGGCGCCTCTTTTGAATATTTGGCATCATTTCCCAAATTCCGCAAATAATATATATATATATAGCACTTTTAATGAAAATTAGATTAATTAAAAGCCCAAAAAGAAAATGAAAAATAATGCATGGATAAGCTCAACATGTTGATTCTAGCAGCACCAGTCCGCACAGCCTATTGGCAAGTCCTACGTACATCCGACACGCGTGATCTTCACGCACCACAGTCACAGTCAGAAATAGTCTTACACTAACGAAGATGGTCGGTTTGATGGATTAAACGACACCATCTAAAACTCTAACGACATAGCTAACATCTGGGATCAGAATATCAGAATCTGCCTCGTATTTACATACAACAAAACACGATGAATCAAACGACGCCTTCAAAACGGGTTCCCCCAATTGGGATTCAGGCGCTTCGGTCGGTGCGGTTCTTACTTTGACTATGATGGCCATAATGGCCGTGCTGGCCGCGGTTGTGGCCGGAAACGGTGCCGTTTCCTTCTTTCTTCTGCGGGACCGAACCGGAAAATAGCTGCCCGAACCCGAAAACCGACCCGGACTTTGAAGAACCGCGGAGAGAGCAAACCGGAACGTTGAGAACCGGAGTCACTCTGACGTTGGCCGAGTAGGACCGCTCCATTCCTCTGTGCTTCAACCTGGGCCCACCGTTGAAGCTGCTTGGACTACTCGAGCTACGCTCCAAGCTCTGGAAGATTATTTTCCCCGACGAGTTCATTCTCGGCGAGTCCACTGATACTCCTCTGCTCGCCACTGTACCCGATTCCTCCGTAGCCCTCCGCATCGGGCTCCGTCCCACCCTCGCCTGATCCGCCGCCGATCTCTGCTTCGTCGCCTCCCGAGGCTTCACCGTCCGTACCCGCGCTTGTCTCGGGTTGGTCCGGTGGATAGAAATGGTCGGGTTCGGGTTTGGCTTGTCCGAATCGAGCGAGAGCCTTGGAAGGTCCTCGTGCTCGTGGCCGGAAGACGAGGAGGAGAGCGAGAGGCGCGACGAAATCGAGACCGATTCGTAGTCCAAGTCTCTAAGCAACGGCAAGCTCAGGGAAGCGTCGGAGGCGGAGGGGGAGGAGGACAGAGATTTCGAGCTCCGGTGAAGGAAATGCTTCAGAGATTTAGGCGCGCTTGTGCTTACAGTCGCTGCCGTTTTGTGGCTCTCGCTCTTCGAGTTACCGTTGGTGGTGGTGGCGGTGCTGCTCTGGTAGAGCTTCTTTAGGCCTAAGAGCTCCCTCCACCGACTCGTACACCTCGGGGCCTTGGGAGAGAACAGGTACGGGTCCGCACCGATTATTTCGGTTCTCCGGCGGTACTGGGGCGTGTCCGGCGATCTGATCTCCGTCGAAGTCGGATCGTTGACCGTAGCTTTGACCGAGGAGAACTGAAGCGGCATGAGCTTCCCGCCTGAAAAGAGCTCGTCGGCGGGAAGCATCGCCACCGGATCTTCCAACCGGAACTCAAACTCGGCGCAGGAGACCTCCGGATCTGGACCGTCCGGCTGGTTCTTCGCCGGAGACGAGGCTTTGGCCCCGGCTCCCAGCTTCGAAGCGTTGTCTTCGTTGGGAAACTCGTGGCTGAAGGAGATTCTAGGACTCAGCCATCCGTACGACGGGAAAGTCGCTGGAGGGAACTTCTCCGGCGACACCCCGATGTTGTTGACGCAAGCGGAGGCCATCTCAAAAACGACAATGCAGTTGTGCGTTTGGGGTCGGAATCACATTGCCGGGGAAAATGGGTTGTGGTGGGAGGAGAGATCTAGGGAGGTGTGAGTTGGCGGTTTAGGGTTTGGGAGTTACAAGTGAGATAAGGGGAGAGTTGCTCGGTGTCCTTGAATACGGAGCATGCAAAAGATGTGTGCTTATATATATATAGCACAAGTGGAAACGCTCCATTTTATTTGAGGCCACGTCGCTCTCTATCATTTCATCTTTTGCTGTACCTGTCTTGTTTTTTGGTGTTTTTCCTTCATCTCTAATTAAATGATCAAATCTTGCTCCATTTTTGTGCTTTTGCTTTTTAGTGGTTGTTAATTTATTTGGAGTAGGATTCTCTTCTCTTCTGTTATCATCTCCTCCTCTCACTCTTCTTTTTATTTTATTCTCTATATAAAAATTTCAAAACAAGATGTAAACGTAGCGTAATCGCAACAATATAAATAGAAGAGGATGAAAGAAGAGAGAAAAAGGAGAGAGAATCATACTTCCAATTTATTGAAGTTAAAGAGGAGAGATTTAGTCATAGATTTGCTTTTGGAGTGAGATGTAACCAATTTTTATTTCAATTTGGTCAAAATTGGTGGTGAACTATTGGTATTTATCTCTTCCGAATCTAGAGAAAGCAATTTGAGAAGGGTATTTTATATGTGATCACGATCAAGCAAATTTACAATCTACAAAGTATCGAACTCAGAGCCTCTCATTATTTTCTTTAAAAAGCTGTTATTTGTACTTTTTCACTATGCCACTAGACTCACCCAACTTGGGTTGGCGTCAGGGTAACATCACAAGTATTTATACGCTTATAGCAATTGAGTAAATATATGACTTACACTTAAGAGAGTAATTGGCGGTCACCATTTTTAAGTGCCATTTCACCTCACTATTGTAGAGCACACCAAACAAAGAGATCATGTTTTTAGGGGTTGGACACACTTAGGGCTGGTTTGGTATTGTTGTGCTTTGAAAAAAAACTGCTTCTGCTGTATTGTGAGAATAAGCAGCTGTGAAATAAAGCAACAGAGTGTTTGGTAAACTTTTTTGTAAAAGTGCTTTTGAAAAAAAAAAAGTAGTATTATAGTGTTTGGTAAACTTTTATGTAAAACAGATGTGAAAAAAAATCGGTTTTTCAAAGTTGGGTTTTGCAGCTTCTTGTTTTTGGCTTCTTTTCACCCAAAACTGTGAAAAAAAGCTGAAACTGAATGTTTACCAAACACAAAAATAGCTCCCAACTTTTTTTTATACCAATTTTTTTTAGAATTATCTCAGTACCAAATCAGGTCTTAAACCTTCGAGCACAGCAATTGCACCTCTATTTGGGCTCGGACGAACTTAAACCCATTTACAAATTTGCTTTCCATGTGAGGCATTTCTGATAACGCTTTTGTCACTTTATGCCCTATAAACTACTTGGAAAAAGAATTTGACCAACTGGCGCATTAGTCATGGTATAAAAGATATTTTAGAGGTCCATAAAATGTCATTTATTGGCCAGGGCCGTAAGGCTATATGAGATCCTAACAACGTCACGACATACTCAATTATCTATTAATCTAACCATGTTAGGATTTTTAACCATTGTTGTAGCTCACCATATGTACTAATGCTCAACCACACGGTTAAATTGAGTTTAGTTTGTTTAGCACTTCATTATTGCTCTCAAGCTTAGTAAACGTAATTTTTATTGCCAAGTCGTTTAGATTATGAATGACGAATTGCTTTTGAGAGGAGCCATGCACCAAGTACGTAGCGTGTTTTGACAAACTTCCTAATCGACGAAACATGTACATTTACACCTAAACGCCTATTTAATAATTATTTATTTTTAAATTTTAGTTTTCACTTTTAATTCATCATTTTCCCTAGATATTTTCACACTGTAACTGAAGTGAAAACCAAAAATAAAATACAAAATGTTTAAGCAAAAAGCCCTACAAAAATGAATCTTTTTCCAGTTTAATTAGCTATTCAGATACTGGTAGAGGAGTCTGGATTTTCGTTGGATCCTCTTTATGAAGATTTCGGAAATCTGTAAATCATGTTCGTTCATCGTATATCGTATAATTAAAAATAATTTTAAATATTTTTATTTAAAAATAAATATAAATAGTATTTGATAAAAATTGAAAGAATAGGATTTATGGATCCCATGATCCTCAACAAAAGATCCGGAGGGGATCCTGTTGGCTGATAGAGGGAGAGAGAGTCGAGTCCGCTTTGGACGTTGAGGAGAATGTCCAGCAATGGCCGCAAGTACTCGTGCGAAACCGCGAGCCAGACCCTGGAATGGATCAACGCCATCGTCGACTTCGTAAGACCCTACACTTTCCTAACCAACGCCCACGTCGTCAATTTCTTCAAGGTTCGTTCTTCTAAATCTCCCTATGCCTCCTCCTCAGTCCCCTCAATAATCTGTTTGGATGCTGAGAAAATACCAGACCGGAAAATCAAAATTCATATCCCCGGATAAAAAGTATATTGCTTTTCAGGACCGGCTGTGGGAAGCTGTCGACGAGGAATGGATGGATTGCTTGCGCAAAGAAGCAGTGGAGAATCTCCTGCAGATTCCTTGTGGAGTGGTCCAGGTACTCTTTTTCTTGCTTTCTGTGTGGATTGAATTGAATCGTTGGCCATTGTTTGTAGCTTGATGCGGATTATTTGTGTTTGTGCTTGTGTTGTTAGGATCATTGGCCTGCTTCGCTTAAGAATTTTATTGTTACTTTGAGCTCTCTTGTGCTTCCTCGACAACAAGCAGACTTGCAGACGGTATGCATTCATTTCTCAGTTTCGGTTTTGCATTCGCATTCAAATTTGAAGTTCGATAATCAGATGTTGTGGTAAGAAAACCTGAAAAATTCAACATCTCATAATAACAATCATGTGAAAATGTGGGATAGGAAGTCATGGATTAAGATGATGACAAACTAATAAACTGTTGCGGTATAGTCGAAATAAAACTGAATCACCGGAATAATTGAAAATCAGAAGAGCAAATTTGTATCAGTACAAGATACTATTTCCTTATGGTACTTTCATCTCTGTGATTGCAGGTATTAGCTAGCATGGACATGACTTCGCTCAATAGCGTTCTCTCCACAGGCATGAATGCAAAGAAAAAACATGAAGTAAGTTGTTGACTTGTTTAAAGAATTGGATAGCGATGACTCTGTTGGTTTGACTGTCTTCCTGTTGTGAAACATTGGGGGTCAGAGAGATGTGTCTGTATGGTCTTTGATTTCTAGATGGGAGTTTCTGATTCCAAACTTCCTTTTAGCATATTTGAACTATGAATGCATATCGTTATTCTATTAAAAACATGATCTTGTATCTGCAGGTAGAAGTCCTTTCTGCGGTTGTTAATTCGATTGCTAGCAGTGTCAGGGCTAATGCAATAATTGATGTTGGCTCTGGTCAGGTAGTCCTGCAATCTTCTGTCTGCATTCATTGGTCCACAGTATCTGCTCTTTTGTCTATTGTTTTGTTTGATTCACATTCACTTTCTTTCACTTATAACCAAATTGCTAAATCATTTCCTTTTGCCTAGATTAAAATTGCATTATTCAGAAAATAATGGAAGGCAATGACTTTTCGTTTCTTTTCTTTTTTCTCTTGTAGTATGATGGTAGCAATTAGTCTTAAAGATTACTTTTTTTCAGTTTTCCATTCTCTTAAAAACTACTTTTTCAGGGATATCTTGCACAAGTACTTTCCTTTCACTACCAACATGCAGTATTTGCAATTGATGCATGTTCTCATCATGGAAGGGTTACTGATGCACGTGCAGAACAAATCAAGAAGTATTATGCTTCTCAAATCCGTAAATCTGTGTACGTTTCCTTCTTGTTTTGTTTTGTTGTTGCAGTAGTTCCTTCTTGAACATTATTTAATGTTTTCACTTGCGATTTTGTTAATTTTATCAGTTGACCTAAAATTTCCATCTCAAACCTCAGAGAGAAATGAATAAGGCATATTATTTTGTTGGAATTACCCATTTCTCAGCTCCATTTCCCATATGTAGACTATTTTTCTTTGAAAAGCCTAAGGTAGACATTTTTAGTTTGGAAGGCCTAAGTCAGATATTTATTTCTTTTGAAAAGCCTAAGTTAGACTTATTGATTACTTGCTGTTGTTTTTTTTTTGCGTTATTGTCGCACATCCTATGATCTAATTAGCACATTTAAGCAATTTCATTGCTGACTTGGATTGAGTAATTATTTTTGAGTCACTTTTTGCACACACTGGACTTATAGTTTACTTTTGTTCTGGGGTTAGATCAGGAAACAGGAGTTTGACTGTGCCTAAGACAATCACATGCAATGTGATGTCTATTGACACGTTGAAAGCTTTGGCTGACATACCACTGGATAAAGATAATGTCTCTTCATTACAAACTTCCTGCAAGGGAGACAGCGGAACTTCACTGGTTCTTGCTGGCCTTCATGCTTGCGGAGATCTTTCAGTAACAATGCTCAAGTGAGTTCTTCAGTGTGCTTTACACTTTATATTTCTATCTTTCAGAAATGAGGTTCCTTCCATATAATCTTGAGGATAGAGTGATTTATACCCATAAACCCCGATAGAAGTTCCTTATGATTGATTGAATTCTCTAGCCTGTATAAGTCTTTTATGTATTCCACCAATAAGAAGAGTTGCGAGTCGGGTCATATTGGTGATGTAGTGGTGATGTATATGAAGCAGTGTCCAAGTTGCTTTCATACCATACAAGAATTTGATTTAAGTGAAAAAATGAATAGCTGATAAGATTAAAGGGGGATAAAAAATGGTTGCGTACAATGGTTTCATAACCAGGTTATCCATGGTATTTGATATTTCATAAGTCTCAATCAGTTCTATATTACAATTGGGCCTTTACTCATCTTTTCTCTGTTTGTCAAATAACTCTATTGCATTAATAGATTCTTTGATGCAGTCTGCATATTTTAAATGGGTGCCATCCTTATCCTTCATTGACTGCAAATATTTTTTTACCATCAGTTAACCGTCTTCCCAGATTTTAATTATACTAAGTTTGATTGGCACTTGCTTGGGGTTCTACATGATCCATAAATTGGTCTTACTGTTTTCAGTAGTCTATAGAGCCAACAAAAGAATGTATTTGTTTGGTTATATGTATTTTACAGCGTCATATGTTTTTATCTGTCAGTATTTTTATGAAAGTGATGCTTAACTTTATGAATCAGGACCTTTATGGAGTGCAAAGAAGTTAAAGCAGTTGTTAGCGTTGGCTGCTGTTACAACCTATTATCTGAAGACGGTTCCAACCATGTGGGTTCTCAATGTGGTTTTCCAATGAGTCATGGTGTTAAATCTGCTGGTTTGTCACTTGGAAAAAGTTCGCGTGACCTTGCATGTCAGGTAAGTCTTGCTTCTCTCGAAGGAGAAAAGTACAGGAAATAGAAAAGTAAGAGGATAAAACGAGTTTTAAAAGTTTTTCTTATGGTTAAAAACATGCAGAGAATGACTAATTGTCAAGGGGGCATCAGGTTATCTGAGGGTTCTTAGAAAATCTAGAAAGTTTACCCAAGAGGATATGCAAGTTTATTCTTCAATTAATAAATGGTATAGATCTAAAGTCCGTGGGAGTCTGGGACTGATGACAACAAAGTGGGGTGAGGTTAACTAGAAGGATTGTAGATCATTCTGTATGCTGGGGAGAGGAGTTAAGTTAATTTTTTCCGAGGATATTTATTCTAGAGTGCTTTATCTTGTGTTCTTGCTTTACTTTCCTAGAGTGCGGAGAGGTGGAGATGCTTGGAAAATGATGCTGGCGTCCATAACTTTGAGCTGCATGCTTTCCGTGCTGCTTTTCAGATGGTATGCATTACTTACACCATTGCAGTTAGCCAGCAATTTAAGTTTTTTAAATGCATGGACATGTGTAAAATTTATTTCAATCATTCCTATGCTGCTTTCATCTCTCTCTGATTCTGAGTTCCGCCCAACCTCCTTGTTTGATGTTACCCTTAAAGTCCTGCATGGTATAAATAACATACTCTTGACTTCTGCAGGTTCTCAGCGTATATTATCCCAAAGTGATGACTACAAGTCCATCAATTGGGCGTCAAGGAAAGGCTTTGCGTCGCCGACAGCAGAGGGTCACCCCAGACTCCTCGTTGCATCACAAAGAAAGCACATTTTCATCCTTGTCCCAAATAAACTCTGATATGAAAGGAAGCTGGTCTCACATAAAACCCACAGTACAAGAAGCAGGTAACAAAACATTATTGTAATCTGAATGGAACTTTCTATTCTACTTAATTATTATTGTTTCGCTGCAGCAATCTTTTGAACTAATTAGAGTGAAACACATAACTAGATAAACATATGACACAGATGGCAGTTTTGACACGGTGTTAGAGACAACGACCATAACTAACGAAAATTCCTTCAACAAGGCCACCCAATGTGGGAAGAGCAAGTTCATTGGCAAGTATCCACTTTTCCAGAAATATTGCTTATCTGGTTTATCTCGCCTTGGTCTTGAGCCTCTGAAGGAAATGGATGTTCATGGAATATGGAAGGACGTTGAATCATCTGCTGTATGTTTACTTTCACCCATATAATACGCTGTACTCATACTTAGCTTGCTTATTCACATCCCATATAACATATCACCTAAACTGCTTTCTCCAACTAGTTTTTGAGTCTCTGTTTCCGAACCAATGTGACATCCCTTCTGTTTATAAAGTTAAACAGATGCAGATGCAATTATTTTGTATTTTATATGGATGATGCAAGAATCAAGATTAATGTAGCTTTTATTTTTTCTGATGACGTAAAATTAGGATAGCTCTGATGCAGATGTTACTGGGGCTTCTGATTAAATGTGGAGGGCTAGTCTCCAAGAGAGCCAGTTAATATTGTCTTAGCAGGGTCGGAAGGGCTTTCGGCTGTTAGGTTGTATAGCAATAGGAAGGACCAATTGGCTTTAGGATAAGTTGTAGTTGTGGGAAGGAGAATCATATTTTAAGCTGCAGAATTTCTGTCCACATCATTGTATAGGGATGGAAATTTTATGGAGATTTTGTTCTATGCCTCTGTTAGGTTAGTATTCAAAATGATGAAATAAAATAATGTTGGTTCTTATCATTGAAGATTCAAAAGAAAGTGAAATTTTGGGAGAAATGTGCATAAAATAAATTACATATGCCAAGTCCTGTATTTTGTTGTTTGGATTAAGTGTATAGTAATTAGTAAATGCCATCTGAATAATTTATTATGTTGACACATTGCAGGACTGCGTAGTTGAAATTTGCATTAGGTTCGCTCATCCTGCTAATTTCTTTGCTGGTTCCTCTTTAGTTGGTGAAAGAATATATAAGTTTACCATATGCGTTATACTTGCTGACCAATTATTTGTATGAACAGGAACTTATTGGACCTTATTGGTCTCTTCGAGCTGCTTTCGGCCCTCTTTTAGAAACTTTCCTTTTGCTTGATAGATTGTTGTTCCTCCAAGAGCAAGGGAGTTCAATTGAAGCAGAAATGCAACCAATTTTTAATCCTGCATTGTCCCCAAGGAATGTGGCCATTATTGCTAAAAAGTCGACGACACAGATGTGACTGTGGCATGAAATACGGTAAGTCATCAAACATCAAGTCTTTTTCAATCCGTCCTCCCCCGCCGCTGTGGCTCTGTGTGCGCATCATGCATGTTTGCGTCAAGAATGCCATATTGTACCTGTTAAAAGTAGTCAAAAACTGATAGCTTCTTGTGAATGTAGTTCTCCATATCTCATACGGATATTTGGTTTAAATACACAAAAGAGAGGCTTTCAGTGCCACAGATTGTGTTTATGAATCTGAACCTTTCATGTGCTGAGCCAGATGTCATTAAGAGCCCAGTGGTGAACGACGCTGGTGAAGCCGTGGGTTTGATCATTACTGGTTCTACAGACAATCTTCTAAGTTTGTTTTCAGGAGGAGATCCAGATCCGACAACTTATGCAACGCAGTTGCAAGAACGTGTCGATGCATCATCAGTACTGAAATTATTGCCAAGGCAGAAGATGTGTTGAAATGTGCAGTCTCGGGAGAAGAACTCAAGGACTTGCTTGTACTGGATGGATGTAATCAAATTGATTAAATGAGTTAAAACTTTGATCTAATAGATGTATTAAGCCCATTACACAAAATTGAAGAAAAACTAAACTCCCAAATCCTAATTAATCTCAATTTAAACTTGATCTTTTCTTGGTAGTGTTCTATTGCCACCTAACTCCAGTTTGTATCCCTTTTAGAAGTATTTGATCAAATCACGTTTTGTCGCAGAGGATGCTTTAGAGCCATCTCCATTACTACGAGGTCCGGGCCTTTTTGGAGCTGGCGGGCACGGTACATCTTCTGGTCGCGTCAGTTTGGTTCCTTTACCTGTTGGGGTTGTTGAGTTTGCTCCTGACATCTCGGATCACCGAAATCTGCTAAAACGTACGTACACTACTCCAACAAACAAACACAAGACGTATTGCAAACGTTCAAACTCAAGTAAATCAAAGGTGTGTGATTGTTGAGAATACTAAAGGCATGTATTTATACTGCGTTGTAGGTTTGTTTCGTTTCCCAAAACCAAAGGAAATCCTAACTATAACAGGAATATAGCTTAATCATAGAGAGAAGGGGAGAGAAAAGTTTTAAGATGTATAATACCTAAAGGGCAATGAAAAAACCAAGCAAAGAAATAAAAAAAAAAAAAAACTTTATTCATTAATTCAAGAGACTAACCAAGGTCACAATAATCCGTTACCGCCATTTTTTTCTTTAATCCTAAGTTAATTTCGAAAAAAAAATGTTAAATAATTTGGGAAAAAAATTGAATATGTTCAAAAAACACAGAGAGTAATTTCACCCTGTAATTGCATATGCCCAAATATTCAAAACTTAACCCTGGTATTGTCTCCTTAGTCCATACCCAAACATGGCTCCTCCTCCACGGCCTAGTGTATCAACGTTTACACAAATTTTCTACTTTTTCATCAGTAATTCAAACAATCGCTGTGGGAGTGGACTAGTGGTTGGGTACGAATTTTATGACACGTTATGGGTTCGATTGGTGAATCACACGATGATGGTTAGAGGGAGACTATGCTTCTGTGAGTCTTTCTAGCTCGTGCTGGTGAATCACACTATGGTAGCCTTTGTGAGTTTTTCCGATCCCCGAAAGAATGGACTGTCATGTCAAAGTCATCAGCTACTCCCCTTTAAGAATAAAAATAAAAATCAATAATTTAAACAAATCTATTAACAGTGTATTAACGTCTAAACAAATTTTCTAGTCTTCATAGTAAAAAAATCTTTTTTGTTACACTGCATCTCCCTTTGTGAAATAATTAATCATAGAACAATAAAAAACAGAAACCGATACACAAAAAAAAGTTGATAATAAAAGTTAAAAGACTTGTTGCCCAAGAAATCTGATCCTATAATCCAGCCACAAACAAAGCCAAAATCTCTCACCCAACGGGTACTCATCTTCCGACTCTTATCTCTTAATAACTAATTCTGCAAACCCTCATCACAACTCAAACATGACTTCTCCAGAAACATTACTGGGTCCACCGGAGATCTACAGGCCTAATTCCGCCATAGACCGCCGCGAAACTCCCACCATCACAACCTTCAAACAAGGCCCTCAACTGGGTCAAAAACGGTCTAAGCATTCTTCCACATTCCCACGCTTCTTGAACCCATGCCTAAAATTATTCTTCAATGCCGGCACGAAGATTAATAGTGACACCCCAACGCCAGCCACGACCCCTTCCAGTTACAGCTACTATGGCCGGCACGAGCAGGGGCGGAAGGATCTGATCCACTATGTAGAGAGGGCATGGAATTTTGACCCTCTCACCACTCTCAGACTTACTTTTACCCTAAGAATGGCGGGGAAGCTCGACAAAGAAGGGTTTTACAAATCCATGTTGTGGGTGCACGAAAACCACCCTTTAACCCTTTCTTTGAATGTCATGGTTTTTGTGGAATTAGGGTTAATCAAAGATCTTTTGGGGATCCTTTATATGGTTTTGAACGACTCCATAACAAAAGAAAACCAACCGTTGAATACGGTGAACACTGTGGTTACGAATACGATGGGTGCTATGGCTATGAATAAAATGGACGCTATGCCATACTATGGCTATGAATTATACGATGGATACTATTCTTGTGAATACAATGGATTATACTATGGCTACGACGGATTCTATGGCTGTGGATATGAGGGATGCTGTGGCTATGGCTACAACGGACGCTATGGCTATGGCTGCAACGGATGCTATCGCTATGGCGGGGACGCATTCTATGGCTATGGATATCGTGGATACTATGTTTATGACCCATATGGCTATTATTGGTTAGGGGAGGAAGAATGTGTCTATGAGGAAGAGAATAGAAAAGAGATAGATGGAATAGATATTCAAATTGACAGCGCCAAAATCGCGGTTGAGAGGTACCAAAATGACCGTGATTTTCGAAACTTGCACGATCGAATATCAGGTATGTTTGCTGAGCTATTGATATCAGATCTCGTGTTTATGGAGGCTGGTGAGATTGGAAAGATCAGTTTTGCTTCTAAATTATGTCCTTCAATTTTTTCTAAATTCGATAGAGCAACCCTGCTATGTGAAAACATAGCAAAGAGAGTTTTCCCACGCCACAGCTATGAGGAGTACAAATATGTTGAAGAAGCTCATTACACTTACAGTGTTCGTTATCGTTTGCACAAAAAAGTGCTTGTTCCTCTGCGCAAAGCCTTAAAGTCATTGTCAGTGAAGACAACTGCAGCTGTTGTGCGAAAGAACGAGAATGCTGCTACTGAAACAAAGAAGTGCTCGTCTTCCCCAAATCTTGAGGCCCTGATTTCCATGCAAGGGTACTGGAAGATCCTTAAGAAAGAAAGGGAAAGCAAAATACCCTTTGAGCTTCACATGAAGATAGATGCAATTTTTGGGATAAGCATTGGAAACTGGCTAAAACTTCCTCACCAAGTCACAGCTTACTTAGATAAGGAAAAGGGTAGTGATGAAATTGCTGAGCTTCAATGGCGGCAACTAGTCCAAGAGTTGTCAAGCAAAGGGAAGCTCAGGAACTGTATTGCAACATGTGACGTCACAGGCATGAGAGGGACAAGCAAGGAAATGGAGTGCATTGCAATGGGCTTATTAATTTCAGAACTGAGTGAAAATCCATGGAAAGGAATGGTTTTCTCATTCAGTGATACTCCCAAGCTTCATAAGATTGAAGGAGACAATCTTCGGTCCAAATGCGAGTTAATGAGGCAGATAGAGTGTGCTGAGAAATTGGATTTCTTAGAGATTTACAGCAGAGTTTTGGACATTGCAGTCCCACAAAAGCTAAGCCATGACAAGATGCCCCGGCGGATTTTTGTGTTCACCTGCAGGGATTTCAATGAGGCCTTCAAATATGATTGGTGGGATGACTATAAGGAGGCTTCGAGTCGTTACAGAAGAAAAGGGTATAATCTGACTGTGCCAGATATGGTGTTTTGGAATCTTAAGGGAGAGATTGCTGAGCCAGAGGTCATTTATAGCCCAGTGAAGGAGAACCATAAAGTGGGGTTAATTATAAGTGGGTTTTCAGACAATCTGCTCAACATGTTCTTCAATGGAGAGTCGGATTCAAGAACATATGCAGCTCAGTTCCAAGCACCTTACGGTATTGATGTACCGGATTTCATTCCTAAAGCTGAGGATATGATGAAATGTGTAGTTTCAAGAGAAGAACTCGATAACTTGCTCGTATTAGATTGATGAAAACTACAACTTTATAAGGTGCATTTTGTTGGGATGCACAATGAGGAGACCTTGTTATAAATTTTGTTCAATCATAGCTCTGTCATGAGGAACAGATGATCTGGTCTTGAAATAGAAGAGCTTCAATGGCGGTAACTTTAAGTGCATACAGGTTGAAACTACAATTAAGCACCTTCGACCTAACTTGTGTTGGATAGAAATTGCTTTTCACTCTTTTGTGCTCAGAGAAAGAAATTCTTTTTCCATCCTAACTTGAATCTTCTTGTCTAGAAGAACGCAATTGTTATGGAAACCAAACCACATTCAAAAGATAAAGGAAACTTATGTCTTTCTGAATAGATGTTATTCTGATCGAAATGCATAAATTCCTCGATTATGTACTTTTTAAATCCTTACTGTTGCAAGCATTTCTCATTTGGATTCTGAATCGATCTCTCTTACTCAGACAAGAATGACTAACTAGTTATACAAGTCTGAATTTTTCGGTAAAAAGTTTGTTTCAACAAGCACGACTCCTATTTAACGAAGTTGCAATATATATTAGTTCCCTTCTACTTCCCTCTCCGTATGTTTCTTCAACGATGTGAAACAATTTGTACAGAAAATCAATAAAGTCCTTGATTGAAATTGACAATGAAAATAATAGAGGTTCATCCTTTATTACATTATATACATTCATGATCATAATTCAATCCATTGCAAGCAGGCTCTTGAACTCTTCTAATTCCACCGCCCATTTTATCATGTCATCTGCCTTTGGAGCAAGTTTCATCAGAGGCGGCACGTCAATACCAAAAACTGGTGAAACTGAGCTGCATATGATGTCGAATCCGCCTCGCCTTTGAAGAAAAGGCTGAGCAGATTGTTGGAAAACCCAATAATAATCATCCCCCCTTCTGATTCTTCACCACTGGGCTATTAAACACCTCTGGCTCAGCAATTGGGTCCTTCAGATTCACAAAACACCAACTCTCCAAAAGTGATTGTTTTAATTTCTGAAATCCTTGAATTTTATGCTCTGTTATTCAATATCCTTCGAGTTTCCACCAACAGCCACCACAGCCAATGCAGCCAACTCACAACTACAAAACGCGAAAGGGTAGTTCTATCCACACTCCTATTTTCATTTCACATACTATCTCAATATTCAGCCGTCGAATCAAATGAATTGAAGAAGATCAATGACAAAAAAGTTAACAAGAATGTGTAGTAGGTAAAAAAAAGTACGTGAATAGCACTATTCAACTCTACACATTACTTACTTTTTGCCGATGATAGTCTTTTGTTCTGTCGTGCTACTGAGATAGAGTGCTGCCATATCATGAAAATTCTTGAGTTGTATGAAAATGCATAGGGCAAAAGATCAATCTTGAGAAAGTGGGTGGAGCGACATGAAAAATATTTGGGTTTGCCAAAGCTGA